AGATGCTATAGCATTTACAATTTGGTCATCATAAGTATACACTTAGCAGTTCCTTAGTTTGGTTACTTATTACCCATAGGCAGGGTAGGGGAACAAAAAAATGCATTTCAACAAATCAGTAATATTCAGCAATAATGAGTAGTGCCGCTACCACACATGAACCCTTGACTCTTAGGCCTAGATCCACACATTGAACAATTTTTGGAAAGCCATTCATGCTTTTCAAAAATATTTGATTAATACCAAGTCCTGGAGCATATTTCAAACAATTCATTCATTTTCAGTATATAAGTACAGCCCCCCCCCCATGCTACAACTGACCCTAGGGCCTTGAAATTTACAATTCTTGAAGATTAGGGCCCTTGCTCATAACTATATAGGTAGTTCATCTGCTTATAACCTAGGTGCAAAGAAGAAAATAATCAAAAATTTAATGTTTTTTCACTATACATGTATAATCAATATAGTCCCCCCCCCGCTAACACCAGAACTCCTGACCCTGGGGCCATAATATTCAAAATTTTGGTAGAGGCACTCTTGCTCATCATAACTATGCACTTAGTTAGTTTATATAAAATCCAGGAGCAGAGAAGAAGATTTTCAAAGAATTCATGTATTTTCTCCATAAAATCAATAGAGCCCCGCCCTAACACCAGAACCCCTGACCCTGGGGCCATAAAAATCACATTTTTGGTAGAGGCACTCTTGCTCATCATAACTATGTACTTAATTAGTTTATTTAATACCCAGAAGGAGAGAAGATTTTTAAAGAAATAATGCATTTTCACTATATAATCTATATAGCCATGAATTTCACAATTTTAGTAGAGGACTCAATGCTGATTACAATCATGCAAACAGTTCGACTGCTTGATGTTCAGGAGTAAAGAAGAAGATTTTCAAAGATTGCACTAATTTTAGTGGTTTTGGCCCCACCCCTCAGGCCCAGGGAGGCAGGGATCATGAAATTCACAATTTTTGTCCCCCTTCACCCATAGATGCATTGTGCCAAATTTGGTTGGAAATTGCTTCAGTTGTTGCAGAGAAGCTGAAAATGTTCAAATGTTAACGGACGAAGCACAGACGCACGACGACGGACGAAAACAGATAGCAATAGGTCACCTGAGTTAACTCAGGTGACCTAATAATAGAGTTACTACCGGTAAGTATTGTTTAAGTGTGGGGATATGTGTTCCTCACCCCTATCTTGTTTCTTTTCTAGAGACCCCTGGATATGCCTGATGGACTGGACGTTTCTGACCAAAGTAAGGTCCACCCTCAGCTTCTGTGTGAGAAATGCAAGAGTCTGGGGTTCTACTGTAGGAGAACTACATAAAAATCACATGCTTTCGATCTCCTCAAAATCTCCTTCCTATCTCTTACTTCCCCATTAAAGTCTATATATATATATATATATATATATATATATATATATATATATATATATATATATATATAATATATATATATATATATATATATCTTCAAAGATATGATTAGATTTTAGGGTTGCAAAATGTATTAAAAATGATTAAAAAAAGGCTCTACCCCTTGCACTTTGTGACACTCCATTCTGGAGTCTCCATCCTCTGTATTTTACACTTTTTCATTTGCAAGGGGGATAAAAATAGCTTTATATGGTCCATAGATCCTGTCATGACATATTCTCAAGACAGAAACAGTTTTATCACTTATATAGTATTAGCTTCCCTTGATTTTCCATTGCAAAGTAATCACTTAGACAAGATCACATGTGAGTTATTTTACACCCCAAATTTGGTTTGCAGAGGATATAATAATGCATTTCCAATCAAATTTTTGGACAAATCTATGCAATAATCTCAGAGAACAGGTCCGGACAAAATTCAATCTATAGACATGGACAGACAGACGGACTTGCTGAACCCAATATACCACTCCCCACTTAACTTCGTTTGTGAGGGTATCATTACTTTTTTTTTTACAAATTACAAACCTTAATTATCGGTCAGGATCCATGGTAGTACACATATAAGAATTTTTCTCATTTATAAAGTAGGAGACTGGAGGAGTGGCTGTAGATTTCTTCTTTCGTATTGTCAATCTTTTTTTTAAATATCTTGATTTCTCAAATTTTTGTACAGATTGACTGAAAAAGAGAAGCATTTGTATCACCAGAAGTGTCAGGACAAATGTTCAAACATTCAAACTATTTGCATGAATATGATATTTCCCATTTTTTTTGGTTAAGAGTATCAATTTGATTCTTGCAATCTTTGAATGTCCCCATTAGTTAATGAATATACCAGGGTATATTGATAATAATAACTATATATTAAATACTTCAAATACCTCTTTTTTTGTTTTTGTGTGAATACTCTCACTGATTTGAAACAAAGAGGTCTGAAAAATCTATCAATAATAGTATAAAAACATATCTTTTATCTTTTGAGTACCTGGCTGAAATGGGTGGCCTTTTCATTTGTAAACACATTTTGACTGGCATCTCGGCAAAGTCCACATCAGTTTGGAAGTCAATAAAAGCCTCCGATTCTGTTGAGAATTTTATTCCTGATCTCAGTTCCCTGGAGTCAATTTGAAGGGACCCTTCCACAACCATTGCCCCACTATTAGAAAAATAATAACATCAATAATATCATCAAGCAATTTTGAATTAACAAAAGGTGTACTGAGTATATGAAGAAAAAAGCATTTACTGTATATACTCTGCCTATAAGTGGGTTTTATTTTTTCATTTTATATTAGAGGGATTGACCCTTTAAAATACCAGTCTTTTTATAACTCGCCTATAAGTCAGACAATGAGTTTTGGTCCAAATTTTTTTTTTATTTTTGGTCCAAAATTCAACTCCCAAAAAAAGCTACTTACAGCCGAGTATATACAGTATGCAGAATATAAAAAATACCTTAGAAGAGAACTCACCTGTTAGTGACGACTGAGTGAGAGTTTTTGTACCACAAACTAATGCTGATACTTCCTGACAGATCAATAGAAGCCACCCCTAAAACACTGGCATCAACAATCAAGTCATTGGACAGATGTATCTTATGGGAATAGTCTTGTAAAAGTAAATTTCCCTAAAATGAAATCGTCTCCTTGTTTACAACTAAAATATTGTGTAAATCATGTTGAATATTAATCTTGAACATAAGCAGAAGTACCCCCGATACAAAATAAAATACATTGTACTGGGTACATATCTTACAAACTCACATAGTGCACTGTTTCTTATTCAAAGAACTACAAAGAAAATGTAATTTACACAACAAGAGGCCCATGGGCCTTATAGGTCACCTGAGCATTATTCAACAACTTTCCAGTGATTGAATTTGATCCATGTTTTAAGCCGGTTGCTATAGCATTTACAATTTGGTCATCATAACTATACACTTAGCAGTTCCTTAGTTTGGTTACTTAATACCCATAGGCAGGGTAGGGGAACAAAAAATGCATTTCAACCAATCAGTAATATTCAGCAATAATGAGTAGTGCCGCTACCACACATGAACCCTGAACTCTTAGGCCTAGATCCACACATTGAACAATTCTTGGAAAGGCATTCATGCTTTTCAAAAATATTTGATTAATACAAAGGAGCACATTTCAAAAAATTCATTCATTTTCAGTATATAAGTACAGACCCCCCACCCCATCCCCCTCTATGGTACAACTGACCGTGGGGCCTTGAAATTTACAATTCTTGAAGATTACGGCCCTTGCTCATAACTATATAGGTAGTTCATCTGCTCAAACCTAGGTGCAAAGAAGAAAATATTCAAAGATTTAATGTTTTTTTCACTATACATGTATAATCAATATAGCCCACCCCCAACACCAGAACCCCTGACCTTGGGGCCATAATATTCATAATTTTGGTAGAAGCACTCTTGCTCATCATCACTATGTACATGTACTTAGTTAGTTATATAAAATCTAGGAGCAGAGAAGAAGATTTTCAAAGAATTCATGTATTTTCACTATATAATCAATAGAGCCCCGCCCTAACACCAGCAACCCTGACCCTGGGGCCATAAAATTCACAATTTTGGTAGAGGCACTCTTGCTCATCATATCTATGTACTTAGTTAGTTTATTTAATACCCAGGAGCAAAGAAGAAGATTTTCTAAGAATTCATGTATTTTCACTATATAATCAATAGAGCCCCGCCCTAACACAAGAACCCCTGACCTTGGGGCCATAAAATTCACAATTTTGGTAGAGGCACTCTTGCTTATCATATCTATGTACTTAGTTTATTTAATACCCAGGAACAAAGAAGATTTTCAAAGAATATATGTATTTTCTCTATATAATCAATAGAGCCCTGTCCTAACACCAGAACCCCTGACCCTGAGGCCATAAAATTCACAATTTTGGTAGAGGCACTTTTGCTCATCATAACTATGTACTTAGTTAGTTTATTTAATACCTAGGAGCAGAGAAGAAGATTTTCAAAGAAATAATGCATTTTCACTAAATAATTATTTAGCCCCACCCTAGCACAAGTACCCCTGATCCCAGGGCCATGAATTTCACAATTTTGGTAGAGGACTCAATGCTGATTACAATCATGCAAACAGTTTGACTGCTTGATGTCCAGGAGTAAAGAAGAATATTTTTAAAGATTGCATTAATTTTAGTGGTTTTGGCCAAATCCCCAGGCCCCAGGGGTGCAGGGATCATGAAATTCACAATTTTTGTTCCCCTTCACCCATAGGTGCTTTGTGCCAAATTTGGTTGGAAACTGGTTCAGTGGTTGCAGAGAAGAAGCTGAAAATGTTCAAATGTTAACACACGACGCACGACGAAGGACGAAAACAGATGGCAATTGGTCACCTGGGTTTACTCAGGTGACCTAAAAATTAAATGCATATTTAAATTGAATCTAGCTCTTTTTCAATGTTTGCAGTCTTGTAGATACTTTAAATATTCTACTTTAATTTTAGTTCAAGGTTAAATATTGTACTTTGTTTTAGAAAGTTTATACGTTAAATATTCTACAATTGTACTTTGTTTTCAGTTTACATATTTCACTAGGAGAAAGTTTGATCTATGCGCGAGGTTTTGGTGTATTTTGTCGTCATGGAGACTGGTCAGAGAAGATCAAGGTTCATCGCTTTGTTTTTTGCATCCATAATCCATAGCAGGAATTTGTCTTGTTTAATCTTTTTAAGATATATTCATTTAAGCTTAGATTTGTAATTTTATTCCTTTTATAGTTTCATCCATGACATGAATTTGTGAATTTTAATCCTTATATATTTTCACATAAATATTCTTTTGTTGGTACAAACCACATTGAAGTTATAAACTTTAGCCAAGAGGAAAATAATGACAGGAAAAAGAAAAAAAATCAAAGTGTTAACAACTGACGTGGAAGTTATACTGGAAAATAAGTACTAACAGTTGTTTCACTAAATCCCAATAAGAATAAGATGGAAATTGAAAATTTATATAAAGCACTAAAAATGACCAACGACACGAACAAATTTTCGGGACGCCCTTTCCCTTCCTCAGAACAATCAAAAAAGTTAAAAAGTCAAAAAAGTAAAAAAGGAAAAAAAGAAACAAAAACAACTAGCACTACTACTAAACACTACATATTTACATACTTAGTTACATGTTGAATTGGAATTCTTTAAGAACAGAACCCTTCTGGTTCTGTAATAAATTTTCGACCCATAGTATAATAAAAACACAAGGTATCTAACTCCGATCTACACCGAGTATCCCCCTCCCTTTGCATCGCGCTCATTTACACTTTCAGGGGAAATGCACGTGTAAACTGTTTATACCTATGTCATCTACTAGAATTTATCTACACAACCATATATGGCTTGCTTGTCCTTGTATTCTTTAATTTCCGTAAACCATGACGCAGGAACTCTATGAGGACTCATCGTCTAAGGCTTTAAACCATGAGTCAGCTCTATGAGTACCCGATAAACCATGGGACATGGGAGGCATTTGGCAACCAAGAAAGAGACATTGTAAGCTTTCACATTTGCAACCGAAAGAGAGTTGAGAAGTATCTGGCATATGTATGCCAGTACCCAGCTGCGGCACGTGGGCCCTATATATCTCGGGCAGCCCGCCCCTAAAAGTACCACTTACCCCACCATCCCAGCGTCCTAACAGAAGATGGACGGAAGAAACCTAACTTGAGAAGGCAGGTCCAAAGAGGTTTGCTGTGTAACCCTTGCGTCGACCCACCGTACCCTGACCCAGACCTCCTCCCTCCCAAGAAGAGCCTACTTATACCCTCTACTCCCCGGGGAAGTTAACTGTCGCTATAAACAACAGAACCTCCCCTCCTAGCAGCTATAAGATATCCAAATTACCTTTAACCACAAGAGAGCCTGTCCCGCCCCCTTAAATTTGGTCGCTTTCTTCAATTTAACTTCCAAACGACCCCTTGACTGCCAGAGGATTTAGCTACTCACCGGCCTGATAGGTTGCTGCCTTTCCCAAAATGCAAGTTTTTGCCTTGACTACAGCTAGATTGAAAGACAAAGGCAATAAATAATCCACAATATACAAGCCTCTTTTGGAAAATTTTTACCGTTCACGAGGTGCACGCTTTATAAATTTTTTTTGCGTAATCCCCCCCCCCCTTTCTTTTTGCTATATACATCCCTTTTTGGGGGATTTTTGTCGTGCACCTCTGGAGTGCATGCAATATATATATATGTTTTTTTGTTGAAGTTTTTACCAATATTTACATATGTACAAAGATGGAGTGCCACTTCAGAATGCTTGGTTGGAAACACTGCCCGCCCTTCAAGCTGATCTCGGTTTAAACTAATTAGATTTTGAACTATCTGCTTAAATGTAAACTAAAATAAAGACATAGGTTATAATTAAATTAATTAAATGCATATTTCAATTGAATCTAGCTCTTTTTCAATGTTAGCAGTCTTAAAGATACTTTAAATATTCTACTTTGATTTTAGTTCAAGGTTAAATATAGATTTCACCAGGAGAAAGTTTGATCTATGCGCGATGTTTATGGTGTATTTTGTCGTCACGGAGACTTGTCAGTGAAGATCAAGGTTCATCGCTTTGTTTTTTGCATCCATAATCTAAAGCATGAATTCGTCTTGTTTAATCTTTTTAAGATATATTCATTTAATTCTGTAACTTCTTTTATATATTTCCCAGTTTTCTTTTATTTCCTTCATGGCCATGGGGGTGGAGGGGGATGGAAATTCAAAATTTATATAAAGCACTGAAAATGACCGACGACATGAACAAATTTTAAGGACGCCGTGTCCCTTCCTCAGGACATAGAAAAAAGTTAAAAAGTCATAGAACAAAGGAAAAGAGAAACAAAAACAACTAGCACTAATGCTAAACTACAGTGACTTGCAGCATTGGGACCATTACAGTCTACATGAGAATGTGATGCCAAGATACTTGTAGTAAGATTCCACTTCCATAGGTTGTCCGTTAAACACCCATTTTTCTGTACCTGCAACTTCTCCGCCTCTGTTGAAAACCACTACTTTTGATTTGTCCATATTTATTGTTAAGTTCCAATTTGAGCAACACTTTTGAAGTATATTTAGTTTTCTCTGTAGACCGTTAACTGTATCTGATATCATAAGAAGATCGTCCGCAAACAGGAGGGCAATTATGTCCAATATTTGGTCTGTAATGTATATCCCTTGACACTGTGAATCACGTAACATCTCTATGAATTCATTTATGTACATCAAAAGTAGCCATGGTCTTGATATGCAACCTTGACGAACACCGACATTACATGTAAAGTATTCAGTGATTTTGTTTCCAATCTTACACGCTGGTAAATCGACTGCGATGTTGTAATCATCTTTCCATGTACACCTTTATTGATAAGGCAATAAAATAATTTCTTACGGTCGATGGAGTCAAATGCTTTTGAGAAGTCGATAAAAACACAATACACTTTCCCACGTTTATTTGTGAGGATTTCTGCACTATAGATTGTAGT